TTCCTTAATAATTCTGTATACATTAATTTTTTAAAAAATTATAAAAAAATAAATCATTATAAAACATATGGAATTTTAATTTAAAATCATTAATTACGTATACAAACCTTATAAAAAATGTATCATTTCCTTATTTCAATTTCTTATAGGGCTAATAAATCTTATTTATGGATCAATAAATATGATGATTAAAATAGAAAAAAATCTTAAAATCATCACAAATATAATATTTAAGTTTAATTTAGTATCTGCACATTCAAAGTACAAGAAAAAAATTTTTTAGTTTGCATAATCTATTTATCAAAGATTTTTCCTCATATTAAATTACTTATATATTGTAACACTTTTGCTTTTATACTCATTTTTTTCTTACATATCTTACATAAAAAGTTTCAATATTACTTGCATTAAAAAATTTAATTAAATATATAATATTGTTATTTTAGTTATTTTTATTTTTGTTATTTTTTTATTTTACGTAAAATTTATACGTAAAATTTTAAATTTTTTAATAATTCTGTATATATTAGATTTCAAAAAATAAATCATTTTAAACAACAAAAAAAATTTTCTTTTGCAGAAAAATAAACAAAGAACTATTGGTATCTATTAGTTAATGACAATCATCAAATAAGAAATTTGTAAAACATGTTAAATTTTGTTTATGGATTGATAAATATAATAAAGGGAGTTAACCTATTAGATAAAAATGATGTAATAAATCTTTAGAATTATCATAATGTAATATTTAAGCTTAATTTATATCTATATATTCAAAATACAAAAAAAAATTTTTTTTTTGGTTTAAATATTGTTATTTTTTATTTTTTTATTTTACATAAAATTTATATGTTATTTCAAATTCCTTAATAATTATGTGTATATCAATTTTTTAAAAAATTATAAAAATACAGAATTATGATACAGAATTATCAATTACGTATACAAACCTTATAAAAAACATATCATTTTCTTATTTTGATTTTTTATAGAATTTATGACTAATTTTTAAGAGATATTTATACAAGTATTTTATAGATAACAATTCATAGATTTATTAAGTAATTATATTTCAAAATAATTGTTTATTTACGAGTTAAGAAAATAGAAAATAAATGAAAACAAATGAAATAACAAGAAAAAAAAAAGGAATTACTAAAACTAAAGTATTATATGAAAGACCTGTTTATCTCCTAAAATTACTAAAAATTAACTTGTTAAATCCTACCTTTTATATAATCTAAAAAACTACCTATTTATATAAATCAATTACATAAAAAAATAAAACTAATATATCATATATGTCTAATTTATTATATATAGGTGGTATGCTATTAAAATTGAGGTACAAGATATAGTAAATCATATGACTGTATCTCAATTTAATAGCATACTATCTATATAACAAATATATCTAATATGTTGATTAATCAACTATGTTTAATATATCAATTATATTAGATATGTTAGAAATATCAGAAATATCAGATATATCAAATTGGTTGATTGTTTTTGCCATATATATCACATAATATTTATTTTCATTAAAGTTAGTATTTTTAGAAAACTAGTAGGAGCTCAATAATATTTATACTGCACATTTTTTAACAGAAGCAAAGAATTTGTTAGATCGAAACAATTATGATATTTTAAATAAAAAAATGTATTTTTTATTTTATAAAAAAAGGGTAACTTCTATTTGATTGTATTTTTAAATCAGGAGAATTACTAAATTTGAAGACTTAATAATCACTCCAAGTTCTCTATTTAAACACTCTATTTTTATTATTAGTAAATATTTATCAGTTTGAAAGAAGAATAAATTATATTTATTTCTTTATTACTAAAATGAAAAATCAACACACTCTAATAATATTTTCTTATAATAGATCAAGAATAAATATTTATAAGACATATTTAATTTTAAAATTACTAATATGATATCATTCAAAAGCATAAGAAAGTATGTTAACTTATATTATTCAGATCTTAATTAAATAGTTTCTAATATTATTTATAAAGATTGGATCTTTTAACATATAAAACTAAAAAGGACTTATTTATTTTACCTTTGCTAAATTAAGTAATTATATAAAAATAATAAGAACTAAACTTGCTAGAATTACTGATAAATAGAAAAAAAGGAAAAAGTAAAAATTTTAAGTCATTATCAGATATTAGTAAAAATATTGGTAATAACTTTAATAAAAAAATAGGTAAAAATAATAATATCTCTTTTGATACTATAGTAGATGCTAAAATCAGATAAGAAAATACTAATAATAAATAAAATCATAGCTAAAAATGATACTGTAATTAAGAATTTGCAACTTGAGTTACAACTAGTTATAATTTCTTTAAAAATTTATTTTATATAAAAATTCATAAATAGTTGCAATTAAAAAAGTTGTAACATTAGTTAAAAATTTTAAAATTAATTATAACTCTAACTTTAATCATAGCAATAAAATTATGAAAAACATAATAATGAAATCTAGTAAGATATAAGAATTAATTATAAAGTTATTACGATCTAATAATGAATAATATAATAATAGTAATAGATGGTAAAAGAATTCTTCATCATTTAATAACAATAAAACTATTACTCAGAATATTCAAAATAAAATGGCATTACTTTACAGAATAAGATTAGAAATAATAATACTTGAGTTTCTCAAGAAAATTTATGAAATAAAACTAATAGTAATGATATATAAAACAGAAGTATAAATGATGCTTCCTCTACTTTTTAATAAAAGATGCAGATGAATCTTAAAGTAAAAGTACTAAAGATAATTGAAAATTTAAAACAGAAAGTATTACTTGAACTGATAACTGGAAATCTAGGATTTTAGATGAAAAAATACTAATAAAAGTAAATAAGATCATAAAAATAAAATTTTAAGAAATGAAAAAACACAATAAAGGACCTAATGATAATAACTGTACAGAATCAAATAAAATGCAAAAACAAATTACAAAATCAATAAAAAAAAAATAAAAAAACTTTATCCTTAACATATTAAGTTAATCCTTAAAATCAAAAGCAGGTTAATTATAATGAGATTTTCTATTGAAAAAGCGTTATAAAAATGCTGTAAATATTAAACTAAATTTGTTGTATCAGCTGATGGATTATGACATTTAACTTTTGCTTATGTTTATCAATACCTTCTTTACTACCATTACTACTTTGCCTAAAATGCCTTCAGCATTGTTTTTAATTTAATTTTATTGTATATTATTTTGTTTGCTATATATTATCACAAATATTGAACTCAAAAATAATCTAAATTAGCATTAGCTTCAGTGAGTTCATGGTTCAATTGTTCTTTTCCAGTTTGCTGAACTCATTTATTTTCCAGTTGATTTTTGGCTGCTTTTCGGCTTATTAGTTATTATTATAAAAGTTAATAATATTTTTATAAAGAGGTTTTATAATATTTTTGGTTAAGTAAATTTTTTTAAATAAATAAATATTAATAGTATAAAAGTATATAGCTTGATAATAATAACCCTTCACAAAAAAGCTCGGGCATGTAACTTTAATGTATCCACCAGAATTTGCTGATTATTTCCAAAATAGGTAATACATTTTAACGAAAAAAAATTTGATTTTATGTTTTTGAATAAGACTTAGTAAACGAACTACACATATTCTAAAGTCGCAATTTTTGTCTTCTCTACAAGTTTACTTAAGAAGAAAATTGATGTTTTCAATGCAGATTTTTTTGTAAAATTACTTTTAAAAAATACAATATGTAAGTTAAAAAATTAAGTTTTATTTAAACAACAAAATTTTTGCGAAAACTAATCTAACTATTTTTTTCGATAATAACTTGAATGTCACGTGATCGTGAAATTATCACGTAACAAATAAGTCAAAAGTCATCTTTCAGATTATCTTTTTTTTTCTTTAAAAAAAATGGCAAGTTTATTTCGAACAAATTTGTTGAGGTCAATAAGACCTATGTACACATTAGCAAAAGTACCTAAAACATTGACTGCAACATTAGCGATTCGTACAGCACCTACGCGTCTAAACTTTAGTCTTCCTATTTCTCGTAGGTTTACCGCGACAGGTCTTCGGTTAAACACTGTACCAGTTCCAAGTAAGTTAAACTTGTATTATTTATTTATAAAATATTGATATTCTATGTTCTAATCTGGTTTATCATTTATTTATTAAAGAAGATATTCAAGTTGATAAAGAATTGGCTGTTAAATTAGAAGAAGAACTTAAATATGAAAAAGGAATTGAACCTCAAAAAGAACCAGAATTTTTAAAAAATTTTTTATCAAAGAATCCATTTAAAGTAAAATTATTATTTAATTAAATTCGCATTAAAATCGTGAATTTTTTTGAAGTGAATTTTTATTTGTTTGATAGATTGAAGATAAATCAGGTATAAACGAAGTTGCGTTGACAAGAACTTTTGGAAATGAAAAGTAATTAAATAATGTATTCATTTGATTTGATGTTAAACTTTGATTTATTAATTCTTTTTACATATTTTTCTGTAGGATTCGTTTACTTTTCGATATCAATACTTCGGATCAGCAAACAGAACCATTATCATTTCCAGGCGATGAAGACGAAGAAGTATGTCAAAATATTTTTGGGATTAAGTCTTTAGGCAATGTACATTTATAATTCAAATCAAATTAATTATTTGATTTCGTCATATATATATAGAATTCTCAGTCAGAAGAAGAAACGGATGATGAGGATGAAGATGAGCAATCGTTGCCTGTTAGATGCTCTATCTCTATTGAAAAGGTAAGATCATTACTCTTATATAAACAGATTATTTTCGAATCAATCTTATAAATTCATAACATTTCTTTTTAAAGGCTGGAAAAGGTGCATTGGCAATTGAATCAATAATTGCCGATGGTGTTTTCCTCATAAATTACGTGTCATATTACCGGGACGCGAACGTAGCAAATGATTGGACAGCAGAAGCAGATTGGAAGAGAAGGGGGTTCTATCCTGGACCACAATTTGAAACATTAGACAATGTTTGTATTATATAATTTCATTATTCGCTTATTTTGATATATCACGTATCATTAAATTTAAACTATTTAAAATAGGATGTTCAGGTTCTTTTTGAAAAATATTTGGAAGAACGTGGAATCAATACAGCTGTTGCTGTATTTATTCCAAATTATGTTGAATATAAAGAACAAAAAGAATATTTGACATGGCTTGAAAAAGTAAAAAAATTTATTGAATCTCCATAAAAAAAATATTTGAATTTAATTAATTATTATTTAGAATTGCAAATAATCTGTTAGTATTATTAAACTATGAACTATAATACATTTTATTGCGTTTTATTTTTATTTTAATAAAATAAATTTACATAATCATAAATATTTTACAAGGCTCATAAGATTCAGAGCATGAATTTATCTGATTAATAATGAAAAAAAAATTTATGTCAACGAAAAAAAAAGTAAAGAAAGCATCAATGATTCTGAAAGTTTAATTATGGACTCGAAATTGTATCGGATCGTTGTAAGTTATTTGGAATTTCTTTTTTTTAAAAAAAAAAAAGTTCAAATTATATTTAAAATCAATATAAAAAGTTAAACTGAATATCAGACATTAAAATAACATTATTTTAAAAATACAAGAATAATTCAAAAAAAAAACTTTATTAGCACTAAAAATTCATCATTAGAAAGTTGATTTACAAAGAATTATCAAATGATCTTCAGAAGTTACTGAAATTAAATTTATGTTGATCATAAAATTAGAGAATCTGATTTATTATAAGTCTAATAAGTCTGATTTTTAATATATTTAATATTTTTATTAAAAATTAGTTAGTTTATATCATTAGAAATAGTTATAAATAAGATATTTCTTTATTGATAATTGTAACAATCCTAAAATATCAATAGTTCTAATATTAATAACAAACTAAATTATAATAAAGAAATCAATGTTAAACATAAAACTTTCTTTTTTTTTGTGTTCTTCATCTAGGATTTGATATTATAATATCCTACACTTATTATACATTTTAGTTCATAAGTTATAATTTCCTATTATTTTGTAAAGGAATTGTAAGTAAAATAGAGACATGCATTGCCAATTCAAAAAGTCAATTTTTTTAAAATACCTATAGGATATGGATTTTCTAAGGTCAGAAACTTTGCAAATGTTATTTGTTTTATATCATTAGTGATATTAACTAAGTTTTTGACAAAAGAAACAGAAGATTTAGATTTAATTAACAAAATAAAATAAATTGTTATTATGTGAAAGATAAAATTAAAGTTCTTATATTGATAGCATATTATTTTTATAAAAAATAATCTTAAATTTATTATTTAATATGTTAGTTCTTTTGATATATAATTAAGAAATAAACATAAATAAATAAATTATATTCTATCTAATTTTAATTTATTTGTAAAATAAGAATTAATAAAAAAAAAATATTATATTATATTATTTGTAAAAATTTATTAAAAAAAATTTATAATTGTTAGAGGCATGCTAGAAATCAGCTGATTTAAAGGGGGGTGAGGGTTGGTATTTATATCACAGTGTTGATATATAATATCATATAACTTTTATGATTTACATGATTTTGTCATAAGTCATTTGTCATTTTGAAGGGTTTATGACTTATGACATGTCATATAATTTTAACCAATTAAAATAGAGAATAATATAATTTTATATTTATTTGTAAAATTCTTAAATATTAGAAATAAAGATAAATAATTAAATCAAAATAAAGATAAATAATAAAAATTGATAAAAAAAAAAAAGACTAAAATAGGAGACAGGGTTTTCTGAAAATTTTTTTTATATATATTATTAGATATTTTAAATTGTATCTTTTATTATTATAAAAATATGATTTTATTGATTAAAAGTATTTATTTATTTTCAAAAAAAAACCAACATATGTAGGCGATTCTAAACTGTTTATAAAAAGAAGTGACAATTTCTACTTTGCATCTTGATTAAGGTTGCTTGTCTAAACTCATTTTGGATTGGCTAAATGTTTAAACCTTTAGTTTCGCTAAATTTTTACTAAGTGTTTTGATATAATTTCACTATTTTTATAAGCTTTGATATAGTTTTACTTTTTTCTGAATTTCACAGATTTTTTAATAAGGTTTTAATATAATTTAACCAAGTTTTACCTATACCATTTAGACGTTTATTTAAACTCTGGATTTCGTCTAACAATCTTAATCTTAATCATCTGCTGAATAAACATTTTATGTACTCACCCAAAAATCATTATCTAAATCTCCATTAAGTAACAATTCATTATTGCTATTTTTAACCTGATTTTCATAATTAGCTTTTTCAATTCATTGTGAAATAATAGCATTCTATTGATTTTCATTTTCTTCAATCTTTAGCTCTACTTCATCTTTTTCTCTTTGTTTCTGATTATTATTATTATTTATAATATTCTTATTATCACTTACGGTTATTAAATCCTCTTTATCAATATTTTGTTCTTCTTTATCAGAATTATTAGAATCATCAGCAATTGGAATTGCAATATGAAGCTGTCTCATTTGCTGATCAGTTTATATAATTTCTTTAATTTGACGTTAATATAAAATATCATTATTAGAACTCTAAATCAGATCAGGTTAACCTGTGACCTGATCTGACCCAACCTGAAAAATTCAGGTCAAGTAGACAAATTTTCAGGTCAACATCAGGTCGGATCAAGCTTATGATCTGATCAACCAATCAAATTAAATGAAATAAAATATTTAAAAAAAAAATTTTTTTTTTTGTCTATTTTGTTTTTAAAACATCTTTAATTTTATTTAATATACTTTCTTTTTATATCTAATAAAGTTGTTTGTATAATTATTTTGTAATTTATTATAATCAAAAAGTTAAATTTTAAATTATAAACATTTTTGCAATTACATTGTTCAACAATTTAATTTTAATTTTTTTTTTATCTGTTCAATTACTTCAAAGAGATATTTGAGCAATTTGGTCAAAGAAAATCGACTTTTATCGCGTAAGTAAAGTTGCTTAGCAGATTCGAAAATATGTGCATATAAATTTTTATTATGATTAGATTAATAGTTATAAAGTTATAAATGTTTTTCGTGATTGTATTATCATATTTTCAGAATCTAAAATTTTCTAAACTTTAATAAAAAATGGTACGCTTCAACTCTCGACAATCTAAAAACGTTCAATAAAGGAGAAAATTACAAAGAAGAATAAGACATTGTAAAAAGAGGTATATCTATTCTAGTAGATATCTAATTTACTTGTAGTAATATATGATTCTAAGTTTATGAGCGGCACGTTTACCATCTGAAGTGTCTTTTCACGTAGTATGGGCGGCACGTCGTAGTACTGACATGTATTTTCACTTTAGTTTTGCATATTAGCAGTAATTCAGATAGCTGTAAACATACTTAGTTTTTATAACTAACTAGTTTGCTATCAAATCATCTATCTACTCAAACTTTTTTTTAGGTTTTAAAATCATGTTGATTCTGAATTTGAGAAAATATTGGAGAAAATTGATAATCTTCTAGCTGATTATCCTCCTTTTTGTCCAATTGAAGATTATCTAATTTCCCCAAAAGAAGGTATATAATAAATAAACTTGGCTTTGAATTTTCTCTTTTTAATTTTCAGATGCTAATTTCATTTCCTTATAGATCTTGACAATAGTTTTTTTAAATTATATATTTAAATTTTTTTTTAAATATTAAATAAAAATATACTTTAACTAAAATAATAAATTACTTTACAATCTATTGATTAAATATTTTACATAAAAAAGTCACAAAAATACCATATATTTCATCATATTTATATTCTACAACCAATAGATACTCGTTTATAAGAAAAATTTCCCATGCCATTTAAAATGATTTATTTTATAATTTTTAAAAAAATTGATTATTAAAGTATTTGAAATAACATATAAATTTTATATAAAATAAAAAAAATTTTATTCTTATACTTTGAATGTGCATATACCAAATTGAGCTTAAATATTATATTTATGATGATTTTAAAATTTCTTCTATTTTGATCGATTTATAAACAAGATTTATTATGTTTACAAATTTCTTGTTTGATAATCAGCTAATGGATATCAATAATCCTTTGTTTTCCCATCTCGTTTAAAATTTTCTCATGCTATTTTATTTGAATATAAAAATCCTTTTTCAAATTCTTTTTTTTCTCAAAGAAAATTTTTCCATTACCAAAATTATTGCTATTTCCCTTTTGTAAGTTTTTGTTTCTCTTTAATGAAATACATTTTACCTGTTGAAGATTTAACGAATAATACTTAAAGTTACTGTGATGTTTTAAGTTTATAAAAGTATTGAGGGGACGCCACACATCCGATACTTTCTGAGGGAGAAAGACTAGAGATTGAATGAAGTTAACATAAGCACTATATTAATGTAGATATTTATCTCATTTTCTTTCCAGCAAAATAGTTCATACACATTGTCAAAGTAGAGATATGGTTAGAGTAAACAACAAAAAATATCCCTCCACTTGACGTAGAGCTTTAATTTGTCAAAGAGAACATAATAGTCAGAGTTTTTGAAGGTGAGACAGGTAGACTTAAGAATGGTCCTAAACTAGGTAACTGGGTATATGGAACACATCTTAACATGAGCTTTGCCTGAACTTGATAGAATATATAACTCAACCATCGCCTGAAGGAATGTGACAGTATATTCAACCTCATTTAGTTTGACTGCAACATACTAATACTTTTGCTTCTTTTCTTACATCATACTGTAGGTTCTCGTAATGTAAGTTTTTACTTGCTTAGAACTGGTTATCATA